GCAGGCGACGTTGGCGTCTTTGGCAACGTTTACGCGGCGGCGACGCACGCGGGCATCCCCGTCGTCGGTGTGTTGCTGCGGTGTTCGCTGGAAGAAAACAAACGCCGCGTCGCAACCGACGAACGCCAAGGCCGAAAGCTGACCAACCCCGACGACCTCGACACGATTTACGCGACGAAAACGCTCTTCGACGCAGTGCCCCATCCGATCGACTTGGACGTGACACATATGAGCCCGGACGAAGCGGCGCACTGCATCTGGACGCATGTGCGCCACGTACGCAACAACTTGCCATGAAGTGTAGCCAAGAGCGTGGAAATGACCTGTGGTATATACCTGAGTGTGTACATCACGACAACGTTGCTAGCTTGGGATGGAGGGACGGCCGCTGGTGTGCTGGCCTCGACGCAGGCAGCAGCGCCGCCTGGATGGCTGGAATGCACGTGCAATGCGCACACCTTGCCCTGAATTGGGCTCCACGCCATGAAAAGACCCGCGTTTGGTGTGAGCGCCACATCGTACGCGGAGGCCATCGAAGAGGACAATCGACCGCGTTTGCCGCAACGCGCCTCCCCACGCGACTCCTACCCACGACGTGGCACGTTGAACCGCGATTCAAACCAGTGACGTGCATCAAGACGCGACGTGCGCACGGACTCTCTCCATCAGGTTTCCTTTGGCGATGATGCGCAGTCGACCAAAGCGAAATGATGGCTGCCATGTGTGCATCCAACGTGAGAACTAGATGTATTGACCGCTGCTGGACTAGAGTCGGGGTGGTGGCACGTCGCTGACAGGCACGACCAGCGCGGACTTGACGGAGCCGCAGTGTGAATTCGCCCACGCCTTGGTCACGAGTTGCGCAAGGCGGAGGAGAGGCAAGATAGCGTGGTGGCATCGAGCCCGATCCGGCAGCGACGTGCACGCTGTAGGAGGCGCCATGCACGCCGTTCGTGAGGCACGTGCTGCTGCTGCCCTAGTCGACGATAGACACTTTTGCCCGTCGCTTCATGGCAGCGACTGGATACAGCTCGAGGGTCGGGTCGACATGGAACGCGATGCCCAAGTCGACGCCATTGCGAGCAAATCGAATGTGCCGCCGCCACCGCTGCACCGTCAACACGTCGCCGTCCACGAACCGGCCGCCATAGTACGCCTTGACGTAAAACCCGGCCGTCTCGCACAGCCACCCGTTTTTCAGGCCAAGGTAGTACCCTTGGTTGGCGTGCTTGGGCACAAACCCGACCTTCGGCGCCATCCCAACGTAAGTTTCCCCCGAGATGTCGTCCAGCCGCACGCGAAACATCACGACGGGGGTGTCCCCCAGCACGGACCGAAGCAAGTTGCGACCGCACACGTATACGATGCGCCGATCGCGGCTGACCGCAATGTCGCTCGCGCACAATTCCACGTCCCACGTCCACGGCATCGTCGCGCCTCCTTCGAGCCACGACGTTGGAGGGGACGACGGAATCATATTGTCAGCCACTGGGTGAATGGATGACGCCGTCGGCGTCGACGTTTGTCCCGACGACGGGCTAGACAAGCTGCCGCAGTCCATGTCGGTGCTCGCATCTCCAAACGAAACCAGGGAGAACGTCGGACTCGTAGGTGGTGTTGGCGTCGACTCACGACGGTGGTCGCCACTGTCGGCGGCCAAAGACACTGGTCTCCCAAGTCCCGGCATCGGTGCGCTGCTTCTCAAGTCTGTATCGCCCAACAAGACCGTCGAAAACGTCGGGCTGGACGGTGGTCGGACGGGTGGGGGCGGCTCGTGGGCTTCGTGTGTGGCGCCAGCCCACGGATTCCTGCAGCGGAACTCAGGTCCGTCGGGCCACGCGCCACCGGTCGCGACGTGCTCGACCGGCGGTGCGATCGAGTTGCTGTCGTCGACGGTCTGGTGGTCGGCCGCGCACTTGGGCAAGTTTAAGTAGTCGACGGAAAACAGAACTTGGGAGCGTTCCCATGCATTCAGGTTGTCGAGGCACAGGCGCCCGCTGCGCAGGTACCCGACGATGCGATCAAAGGTCGGGCCGTGGAGGTCGAGAAAGAGCTCTTTGTTGCCTGCGTCAGACCACGTCGATCCCAGGAGCGAGTGAAACAAACTGCCGTCGAACCGCAACAACGTGGTCTTGGCCGTTGCAAATCGCACGCCTCCCACGTTGAGCACGACAACGTTGGCCGCTCGCGCGATGGTGTCGGCAGCGCGAGCTTGCATGTCGGCCCACGCCGCCTCGCGATGCGCCATGGCGTGCCACATGGACGCCGTCTTGGCAACCCACGACTCGATTTGCCCTTGCATGACGCGGGACATTTGGTCAAACGACATGGACATGTGGTGGGCGGCGTCGTGGCGCGTCGAGGCGGGCGGCGACGGCAGCGGCCGCTTCACTCGCTTCATTGCAATGATAAAGTGGTGCGTGTGCGTCGGTGCCGCCTTTCCCCCCCAACCAACCGCCCGGAGTGGGAGCGACTGTCATCACAGGCGGAAAATCGGTGCCGGGCGAAAGAGCTCCACAGTGTACAGTAAGGACTCGCCGCCGCAGCGCCGCCCTCGTGTCGGCCCCTCGAGCGACCGCGCTGGCGCGCCATGGCCGCGCCACGACAGTCCTCCTTCTAGCTACATGCCCTGACCACATTATCCACCATGGGACGACCACGATGCGGATGCCGAGCTACGATCGACCGACCGCCCCTACTGGTACACCTCTAAACATCGCCGGCTCCAACGCACTCTGTTGCCGACATCGCAACGACGACGAACTCTGCCACGATTCCGCCCTCGACGGGAACCTTGGCTACACTCGTCACGCGGGCAGCTAGGCAGAGCAAGTGGTCATGCGTTCTCCCAGCTGCAGCGGTGCGTCGTCGGCCTTGACGTGGCATCGCGCCGGTCGCTAGGGACGGATTTTTTTCGGCCATGCAGGATTGGGTGATGCGTCCAGCGCGGCTGAGTGGCGTTGATTGGAGTGGGTGGGTGGTGGTGGGCACCGTTTGGTCCACGCCGTCGACGGCCGACCAGATTCACGTGCCACTTGTCGTGTTGGTGCCTGTGGCATCGAATCTGCACCGAATTTTATTTGTCGGCGCCGACGAACGTCTCGAACGTCGGCCGCGATGCACGGACGACCCTGATGCCTCTCTCGAACGCCCGCGTTGGATGCCAGCTCGTCCCAACCTGATCGGAGGCGGTCCTCCCCTCTACGGCGCGCTGGACGGTTCAGGCGCGGCGGCCGACGTGATTGGCGCGGCCATTGTTTCTCATTTCGCACTCAAGTGGCTCTCGAATCGTTGCGGCGACGTCATGAGTCACGAAGCTCCGGTACTCAAGTTGACGAATGCAGATGAAGGGTTTGCTGTTGGAGTGCTGCCACGATAGTCGTCGAGAGGAAAGAGGACAGCGCGGCACCACGACTCGATCGCTCCCACACGAGGCGAATGCCCGACCAACCCATCACGCACAGAGCACAGTCAGTACTCATTTGTGGGTGCAGGATACCATCAGGAGCGACATCGTGGCGGACGGTAGAGTTGGTGGCGGCATTGGATGGCACGCACGCACACGTGCCGTTGTCGTTCGGGCTTGTTGAACCATACCTGGCAGCGCGTGGGCCTCGCCCAAAATCCAACGAAACCCATCCCGCGGGCCATTTGTTCGAGGAGGGTGCCGCCGGGGGATGGCGACCACACGTACCGGCATCGTAACGTAACCCAGTGGCGCAACGCGACAGCGGGTGGGTTATGGGGTCCATTGATGCGGACACACAGCCAGGAGGGGCGCCGCCGGGGTGGCGTCTGGATTATACTGCTCGATTTTGGCCACCACTCTTGGTACAATGCCGCAACGGAGGATGTCGGATGGGTGGCCATCGTTCATGCTTCAATGCGTCGTGCTTTGGCCGCTCGTGGACGATGTCTCGAATGCGTGCCCTTGGTGTATGCTGGGGGAAGTGGCGCGCGACATGACTCCACGAACATACACATGGATGCAACAGGGGTGGAATCCCTCCCTTGGGGAAGCGCTGTCCGAGCCCCAGACACTTGCTCAGCAGGGACAGAATGCCATCGCTCGCACCATCATACTGCGAACTGCGATGTCCACGGCTCATGCTTGAATCTCGTACGGGTCTTTCGCGCACCGACGTCGATGAAGGCCGACAAGTGCGTGAGGAGGGCGCCCGCTGCTCGTTGGAAGATGTAATACCTCGCCTCGATACAACGTCTGCAATTACATCGCGGGTCCTGCACGTTCCCTGGATCCTTCGACCTCGTTATGAAGCAGCATCTTGTACGACATGGAGGCACTGGACTGCGGTTGGCGTATGTGCACGGCCAGCAATGGACGATGCGGCGCATCCCCCCAGATGACCGTCCTCGCGCCGTAGCTGATCGATACTACGATTCCCCCTCCCTTGAGACATTGACCAGGGCACGAGAGGTTTGGTTGGATCAGTGCACTGGGTGTAGACTGCCTCCAGCATTGACTTGTACCATGGCAGCAAGGATGAGCATGGAACGATGACACGCCAGGTTACCCACTTCGACCTGCAGCGCCGCGGTGCTGAGCAGGCACAGAGCGGCGACTCCTCGTCAGCGAACAACGTTGGCGACGCGAATTAGATTTCAACTTCGCGGTGGCTACGGCACGACAATGGCGTCGATGGATCGAATCGGGCCGATCATGAATCGACGAGCGCATGCGCTTCGGGCCATGGTCAGCGTGCCATGCTGCACGAGGACGGCAAGTACCGTCGTAAGGTTGTGAAAACCGACGCGTTCGACGTCACCAGTGTGCCATTGAACATTCGTTGGCTATCGCGTGCTGCGTGTTGATGTGGCTCGCCAATGCAAACGGTTGCGATTGCTCGCCGAATCCTCGGACACGGCGGCGGGTCCAACTTACGACTGCCTCGTCGTTGATCGCCGTGGTGGTGGATGTCAGGCCACCGAGCGAATCGAGGCCGTCCTTGGTGCGGTGCAATTCCTCCAACCTGCTCCGTGCACGGGGGCCATCATGGCTTCCCACAGCGTGTTGCGGAGGATCGACGCGAGGTACACGGCGACGTTGAATGGATGGATGGCGCTGTAATGACGACGCTGGCGCACCGTGAGTTGGCCATGTCCCTTTGCGACCGAAATCTACCCGGCAGCGATTACCCCTGGAGCTACAGTAGCCAGGGCCGAGTTGCAAAGGCCACGAGCAACGATGCGTGCCAAGTTTGCGGCGGTGTATGCGTGCAACATAGCGCTTGGAAAGAACGTGGCCGTGACCTGGAGTGAAATCGTTTACGTTGGCCACCCACTAGGGCGTCTTGCGTCCCGTCGGCCCCGAGCATCACTTACTTCTTGGATCCATTCCCAGTCGCGCCATAATCAAGAACGCTACTTCGGCGTCCACAGCATGACGCAGCGGCATGCGTTGGTCAACCAGCCATGTCGCTCCGTCTGCACATTCCAACAGCGCAACGGCAGTCGCAACCATCCATGTATCTGGCAGCATAGTCGGCGTACTTTGCCCTGCAGCGCGCCGCACGCTGTGCCGTGTGTGCAACGTCCCATCGCCGGTCGAAATCTATCCAGCAGTAGAGGGCGTACATAACCTGGTAGCGTGTCCGTGGCGGCATGCAGCTAACTTACAGCTCGTCCATCGGGGACGTGTAACGAAAGGTGTTTGTGGCGGCCAATTCAGACCGAGCGTTTGTGGTGGTGACGGTGTACCGCTTCGTTGTACTCAGTACGGGAGGCGCCCGCTGGGTCGCCGCACGTGTAGTTTATAGATGGGCGTTGAGGTTGTGTCGATGGGTGCGTTCTCGGCACCAGTCGAATTGAAATGCAGCCAGTGAAGGTTGTTGGCCAAGGACGGTCGAGCAATGAGAGAAATTGGTCACGACGAGGTGTAGGAGGAGCTCTGCCAGCAGAATGAAGTGGCACCACCATGACGGAGACAGTGCCTCAGCCAAGGGCAATGCCAGGGGCTGCCATCGCCCTGCCCACCTCGTGTGTGACGCGTGTACGAGTACTATAAGCGTGTTGTGCTTGATGCAAGGATGCGGCCAGCGTGTGCTTCACGACCGATGACTGCTACGTACAACGAGACAGGTTTGTCGCGGATGTCGATGTGCGCAATCGAATCGAGCGGGTTGAGCCCACATGAACGAGCCGCTTCATTTGCCGCCGTCGGGTTCCCTTGACATCATATATGTGGCATCATGGCACGATGCCAGCCCCGAGAATTCACGATGACGTTGCAAGGGGTGTCCGTCGAAATCGACTTGCGGTAAACACATGTGCAAGCAATTCAATCCTCTGTGTATTGCAAATGCAGCAGCCCAAACGCACCAAGCTCTGGAACCACCCGACGACGCCATACGCTGGGAAGTTTATTCTTGGCAGAAGGTTCTAGATGCCATGATTGCTCTATCTACCCACCCACAACCGCGAGCGAGTCGAATGCCATGGGCAAGTACAGCACCACCACGCGCTTCATCTCGCAAGTCGTCCTGCCTCCAACCAACGTCTCTCTCTATAGCATGCCGCATGCATTAGCGCTGGACATTTCGATAACTTGTCCTTCCCTCACGCTGCCGAGCTCCACGACCCCCTCGTGATCACGATATCATGTTGTCGACCCCAATCACTTGTTTCACATGTTGTTTCGAACGTCGTCCAGTGTGTCTACTGGCGTTCCAAACGTCTTCCTGTGTTTCAAACCACGTTCCGAACGCCCCGATTGTGACGTCGAGGTTTGAAACGGGTTTGATTGGCTTCAACTTGTGCGAATCCAAGGAAACTCCTGGGTCGTTTCGCTGGCATGGTGCTGTCATTCCACAAGATACGTCGACCATGGCAAGCCCCACGACGCTCTTTACACCTCTCCAAGTGGGCTCGAACGCTCTGGCGAACCGCATCATCATGGCCCCACTCACGCGCACCCGTGCCGGCCCCACCCACGTCCCCAACGCCCTCATGGCCGAATACTACGCCCAGCGCGCGTCCGCCGGCTTGATCGTGGCCGAGTGCACAATGATCGCACCCAACACGTCCGCGTTTGGCGGCGAACCTGGCGCGTACACGCCCGAGCAGCTGGCCGGCTGGAAAGTCGTCACTGACGCCGTCCATGCCAAGGGAGGCAAGATCTTTCTCCAAATTTGGCATGGCGGCCGCGCGGTGCACCCCGACCACAACGACGGCCACGAAAACGTCGCGCCGTCGGCGCTGGTCATCGAAGGTGAAGTCCACACTGCCAAAGGCAAGGTCCCGAACGTGCTGCCGCGCGAGCTGACCGAAGCCGAGATCCGCAACATCGTGCAGCAGTTTGCCACCGCCGCCACGAACGCGATCAACGTGTCGGGCTTTGACGGCGTCGAAATCCACGGTGCGAACGGGTACTTGATCGACCAGTTCCTGCGAGACGGCTCGAACAAGCGAACGGACGGCTACGGCGGGTCGCTGGAGAACCGCACGCGATTCTTGACCGAAGTCGTGGATGCGGTGACCAAGGCCGTCGGCGCAGACAAGGTCGGCATCCGCTTCTCGCCGCTCAACAGCTACAACTCGATGATCGACAGCGACCCTGCAGCTCTGAGCGAGAAGGTCGCAGCCATCAGCCAGGCGTTCAACCTCGCCTATGTCCACGTGATGCGCGCCGACTTTTTCCAAGCGCAGAAAGGCGACATCGTGCCGATTTTCCGCAAACACTTCAAGAACACGCTGATTGCCAACATGGGGTACACCAAGGACGAGGCGAACGACGCGATCGGCAGCGGCCTCGTGGACGCGGTGGCGTTCGGGACAGCGTTTTTGGCCAACCCGGACTTGCCCGCTCGGTTTGCACAGGGCGCCGACCTCAACACGCCAGACTCGGCGACATTCTATGTTGGCGATGCCAAGGGGTACACCGACTACCCGTTCTTGGCGGCTGCAGCACCCACCACTCAAGCGGCTACGACCCGTTCGACTGCCGCTGGCACCACGACCGAAACCCCCGCCTCGCCTTCCTTAGATCCCGCAGTCGAAGCTAGTAGCAAATGTAGCTGCGCCATCATGTAGTGTCCGCATTCAACATGACGTACGGGTTGAAACATCCTTCCCCTAGCGTCAAACTGAATAGACCACGTCGTGGCGGACTCGTCGACAGGTTTCATCGAGGGGGCTGTTGGGGAAGCCAGCAAGTTCGCGCAGCGACAAGGCGCGCTCGTTCCGACGTACTAGGTCGAAGGCTGGCTGCGTGTCGACGGCGATGGAAATTCTGTGCCCAATAGGTCAACCATCGAAGAAAGGCGGCTCGAATGCGTCGGGTGCAGAGTATTTGCAAGTGCTGGGTGGCATTCGCGTGGTTCGGTCGACAAAGATGCGTGTGTTCGCGCACTGGAACACATGCCAATCGTCGGAAGGCGCTAGCGTGCTCTGGACGCGTCGTCGCGGCACGGCCTTCGACCCACGTGCCTCGATTCCCGATGGGACGAATACTTTGGCGTTCGGCGAACGTACACGATTGGGCGACCGCCATGCATCTTGCCCGGCAACCTGACGGCACCATCCAGCTGCTTGAGTTCGAGCGCCAGATACGTGAGTGGATGCATGTACTACCACGACCGAGAGCCCCCACCGATTCCATGGCACGATTCGAGAGGCCTGTCTGCCCCGAAAATGCCCCCCCTTGCCCCCCACCGCCCGCACGACTTCGCACAGCCCTCACACCTGGATGTTGAGCAACCCCACGAGGTTGTCGGCAAGCTCGTGTCGAGACAGAGCACGTCGCGTGGGGTAGTTGCTTTTGGGCAAATGGCGTCCCGCCCCCAACGAGGAATGGGCTTCGCACGCCTCGGCACATCCCGACGTGCACTTTCTTCTACCCATGCCGCGGTTCGTCAAAAAAAGCCGAGTGAAAATCAGGGACGTTTTTTGTCCTGCTGTAGAACCCCTTGCATGCGTCCGCCGATGATCATACGCTGCATGATTTCATGCGTAAATTCAACAAGGATGCAGCTCCTCCGTCGTGGCAACGGTGGCAGGCGGTCGCGCCAGGGTTCCTCCAGCCACCCGTGCACTCGGCGGGATCTTGAACAATTTTTGGAACTGAAAAAGACGACCATTTTTTTCATCTTGTTTCATGGTTCAGTTACTCACGTGGCTACGTCGTGCGCCTGGATACAACACATTGACCAGGACGACAGCGCGGCGCCACGACCGACCATGGCGACGTGCGCGCAGACACAGGCATCTTACACAAGCGCTCTACACGCGTGTGGGTTCACGCCGACCGTGTGGTGTGCGGATGCAGCTTGTTTGTCCAACTCGCAACGCTGGTGCAACCTGTCGCAATGCACGGCTGCATGGGCCCTTGCCAAGCACATGTCAACGCAGTGTGGGTCGCACAGCCCGCCGATTCCGCTACAAATCTGCGACGTACACATCCTCGACGCAAGTGTCGCCGTCGTGCCAACGATTGTGTGCTGTAGGGTGCGTGTGTCGGCGCCATGCGTGTGGTCCACGACCTCGTCACGGCGTGCACAGCCGTCACGACGGCCAACCACACTGGCCTGGCCGACTGCCGCGCGTGTCAGCATTACCAAGGCAACCGGTCCAAGCTGGCAACGCACTGTATTGTGTGTGCGACTCGGCCGCGACGTGTCATGGTCGTGTGTAGGCGCATTCGACATCATGACGTCCAACCCGGCGGTGGCAACCGCGATCGCGTTGTGCAAATCGACGTTTCCGCAGCTTGCGTCGTCGTTTCCGTCGTCTCTAGACACGATCGCAGTGGTGGTGCATGACGAACCGTCGTTGTCCCAGAATCCCCAAGTGTTTGTGACCGTAATCGTTCTCGGCATGGTGGTGGCCGTCAGCGTTGGCATTCTCGTCTACTTTCAGGTGCGGCCCCGCGCATGTTGTTGGCATCTCTTCGCGCCACGACTCGGCTCCTTGTCTAGTTTCGCAAACTGCGCCACGCTCATGGACGAGACTTGTTTCGTGACGTGATCATCATCCAGCCGCCAAACCGTGTCCATCACGTGTACCGCCGCCGGTCGTGGCGCCAGTCCGCCGGCCCAACACGAAAGCCACAGCGCAGGTCGATCCTGACCTTCGAGGACGAAGCACCGTACATCCTGCCGTCGCCCACGAGCTACGACATGGTGCTGGGGTCGCCCAGAAGCACCGGCATCGAAGACGTCCGGTTCGACAAGAAGCTTACGCAGTTCCGCATCCCGGTCGACGAATTCGTCAACAAGTCGCCGCTTCAAACTGGCGGGTACGTCCTGTTTCACTGCCGGTGCACATGCGTGTTTGGCGCGGTGCCGACCGCAGCGGCCTAGCCAACGTTGACTCGACTTGGATGGCTAGACAAGCGTCGTTGTTTCGAGCCCAGTGGAGAGGCCGCGACGTCGCGATCAAGCAAATCGCCCCCATGCACGCCAAAGACTTTTACGCGCTCCAGGTCGGTGCTCGTTCGCGATTGGACTTTGTGAAGAGTACTGTTGCAGTGTCGGCGGCCCCACTGCGGTCGGAAACGAGGGGTCGGCCGCCGTGAACCACCGGAAAGACTGAAAGCACCCGTATCGTGAATAGGAATTCATGCGCGAGATTCGATTGTCGGCGTATTGTCGGCATCCGTCGATCGTGGAATTTCTCGGCATTTCGTGGCGCACGCTCAAGGACATGTCGATCGTGACCGAGTACATGGTCCATGGGGACTTGTACTCTGTCCTGCGGCACCAACGCGAGCTGCGGCCGCAAGACCAGTGGCTTCGCTGGTATGACCACAGCACGGACGACTCGGACGGTGGCGTCGATGGCCGTCGCCGACACACGGTCCACCGCATCCATTTGGGGTTCAATTGCCGCCGCGTGAACCCGTCCAAGCTCGCGATGGCGCTCCAAGTCGCGCAGGCGCTGCAGTACTTGCATTCGATGCGAATCGTGCACCGAGACATCAAGTCCAAGAACGTTGTCCTTAACACGCTGTACACGGCGAAACTGTGCGACTTTGGCATTTCCCGACGGCTCTCGGACCTCATGACGGCGAACCGCGGCACGCTAGCGTACATGGCCCCAGAAGTACGTCTCGCCGCCCAGTGTCGGCACCATGGATGCGGTTGGTTGTTGGATTCATGGCGCCCGGCAGGTTTTCCAGGGCAACAAGTACACAGAAATGGCCGACATGTACAGCTTTGGCGTGCTCTTGTCTGAAATGGACAAGCTCGATTCGCCGTACGTCGGCGACATGCCCGACGTCGACCCGGCCGTGACCTTTCCCGACGCCAAGATTGCAATGATGGTGCATAAATCAACAACGATATGCCATGACGACGACGCGTGCGCGTAGGTGGCGGAAGGATCCCTCAAACCGAGCTTCACCAAGTCGATGCCTCGTGAAATTCTGCACGTCGCGTTGAAATGCCTCGCGTTTGACGCCACGCTGCGACCGACGGCGGACGAACTCGTCGATGCGTTGGCGCTCCTCATGCACCAGCATCGAGCGCAGGCGACGTGTGCGGCCCGTCCACTTTGGAACGAACCAATCCCCCCCCGTGCACACCGGCATGCCGCTGCAAACGATGGTACTTGAATAATAACAAGCTCATTGTTCCAACACATCCATGCACTGTTGCTGGCGCACAAAGACCAGAAGCGGAGGGCCGATTAACAAGTCCACAAGTTGTAGACAGCGAATTCTTGTGTCCAAGCCGATTGCCCCAAACGGACGAGTGGGGCGTGGTTCGAGCGAGATCGAGCTGCGTGGATGGATGGACCGAAGCATCGTCGAATCATGCGACACCTGTCTGCTGACACACACGCCCGTGCAACCGTCACTGGCGTCGGCGAATGCACTGCCGCGCATACGTCCCTAGAGTACAAAGGCGTAGTTCGCAAACGAAATATCGTCATCGCTTGCCCCGGTAGAAAGGTCCACCATCCAGGCCCCAGACGCGCCACCGGGCGACGGTGGCATGGAGTACATCCACTCGGAGCGGCCATTCTTTGCACAGCACTGCCTCAATCGTGTTGCTGGTACCCACCCAGCCACACCCACGCCAGTAGTGGTGCGTCGTCATTTCCTTCCAATGGGCCCTGTCCCCATGTGAAATATCGGAAAACATGCTCGAAGGGACCGCTCTTTGCAGCGCTGCCATTGCCACCTTACAGAGGGCCAACGACAACCCCTCGGTCGTCGAGGCTCCATGTGGTACTCCAAGCAACGGAGCACACCCACCACGAGGGACACGCCGGCACAAGACCCACAGGACACTTTCACCACGACCGCACAAACTCCGACGACATGCAATGTCAAAGGAATGCGCGCCATGCGGCCGCAACTCGTTCCCCAACGCCAACGCGCGAGGTATCATCATGGACAAGGCATTCGACATATTCAACCGTCGCCGTCAACAGTGAGCAGGGAGGACCACTTGCAACCCCCGTGCTCTTATTCCATGGCGACTTCATCGTTCTCGTGGTCTTGTCGACCGTACCTGCAACGCCATGATCAACGTGGACTCGATCCGTGATGCATGGCGTGCCCACCGTGCAATCAAGTCGGATCGGTTTCGAGGCGGGTTGTGCATCAATTGGTACAGTGCTAGCGTCGGCGGCGTCTGCGCGCCACTCACGACGCACGAAATGCGGTAGGCCTCCCCATACGCGTCGACCGCGCCGGGAATGTCTCCAGTAAGGACTTGAACCTGCGTCGTGTGCCGACGTCATGCAAGATGAAAGAGGACGGAATACCTGCGCCAACTGGTCGTAATAGATGACCTTTTCGTGGATCGCGTCCGGCGCGACGTACTCGATGGCGGACATGAGGTCGCTCCACATGGCTCCCAGCGCGTTCTCGTCGTGGTCGAGTCCTGCGTCGAAAATTGTCGACAGCTGCAGACACGGCAAACGAGGACGGTCGCGAGCGACAAGTACCTGGGGCGCGTTTCAGTCCCATGCTGTCGAGGGCCCAGAAGAGGAGGTAGTGGAAGCGGTGGAATGGCGTTGACGACTCAATGCGCAAGATGTCGCGGTGCGTCGTCGGCAAATGCGCTTCCAACTCGCGCTCCATGTGCAAAATCGCTTGGACTTGAGCCCGCGACCACGCCTACCCCATGCCCACTCGATCAGGTCGATCGTGGTCAATATGTACTGCACCTGGCCGCACGTTGTACACTGGTACGTCTCGAAAGGCTGGGTCGGGAACGGATGGACGAGGCCAGGGCACCCGTGCAGGCGGCACAAGTACGCCCGTGTCTTGTCGGGGAGGTCCGTACAAGCGCGGCACACGCATGCAAATCCATACCTACTCCATCGTTCCATCTCGCGTGAGACCCCCGTTGACGTCGAGACGACGCCCACCCTTGTTGCAATTGTTGCTGGCGTTCGTGGCGCGGTCGATAAAACAAGTTGCCGTAGTCGATCGACATGGCGTCGTGGACCTCGATCGGTCGAATCGCGGTCACCCATAACGTGTGGCCGTCCGTGGTAAAACTACTCGAGATGGACACACGATGCAAGTCGCGCGCCGTGGTTCAGCCGCCCGGTCGAGCGAGATGGCGGACGCACCTGCAGTTGGGGGCGCAGCTGTGCTCCATCAAACACGCGGACAGAAACAGACCGGTGCCACCGATGCCCTCCAGCTCGTGCGAGTTGGTGTTGAGGACACCAATGATCTTGGCGAGCACGGGGACCGACACTTGGGTGAACACGGCGGGAAACGCGTGGACCAACTGCTGTGCCGTGTCGACGCAAGCCGGCTCGTTCACGTACGACAATGCCATCATGCCGTCGAGCGACGCAGGGTGGCGCAGAAACTAACAGGACGTCCGTGTGACGGACGTGCACAAAGTTGTGGAACTTGCACCTGTGTCACGCATTTCAAGATGCACTTGGCCCGGTCGACTTCGCCAATCGTGTCGAAGCCACGCATGGCCGTGAGTAGACTCGCAAACAAGCGATGCATGCTCGGGTGGTACTCGTCCGCTGTCTCGAGCGCGTCGTCCAGCAGGTTGGCCATCGTTGGCACCTTGGTCTCGAGCAAGTGTTCGCCGTTGCAACTCGCGTACACGAACGCTTGGTCCTGGAACACCACGTCGCCAGGTTGGTACGTCGACGTAGCGACGACATATCGACCTTTCGACGGGCTCTCGAGGACGGCCACCGCGGCATCGCCGAGTACCGGGACTCGATCGAGCGTCATGCCAAGCTCGTGTCGTCGTCGATTGGCGGTGCTTTAAAATCCTGTGAAAATCGATACCGTTGCACAGTGAAGTTGCGCACGGCGACATCGCAGCGAGCGGGACGAGAACGAGTCAAGCATCGTAGAGCCATCGCACACGACGGACGATGGCCACACAAAAGACTTGAGTCGCGTCCTGTCGATGCTTGACTCGTTCTCGTCCCG